TCTCGGTTGGATTATGGTAACGCCCTATTCTGTGGAATATCTGACTAACTAACTAGTCGTCTGCAGAGGGTTCAGAACACTGCAGCACGGCTAGTTACTCGTACTCGAAAGAGAGAGCACATCACACCTGCGCTTTATTCGTTGCACTGGTTACCTGTACGATACAGGTCGCAGTACAAAATTCTGGTATACACATACAAGGCACTGAATGGAACAGCTCCTCCGTACCTACAGGAACTTGCTACCCTGTATCAGCCGTCAAGATCACTGCGGTCGGAGTCAGAATCTTTGTTGTGTGTCCCAAAATCTCGTATTGTGACCTACGAACTTTGGAGAAGAACTTATGGAAACCCTTAAAAAATCAATATAAATAAATTGCTTTGGTAAGATTTATTAAAGGCGTGGACTAAAGGTTTCAGAGAGCACGAAATAAACTAACAAAAAATAATTCCTCATTAATTTGTATAATAAAACGAATCATGATTAGAAATTAGTATTTTGATACTGTTTTAAAAGGGTGTAAACAGTGTAATGTATGTAGTGAAAGGAGATGTATTAAATATTCATGAGTTTTGAAGAATTAAAAAACAAATCAAAAGGGTCATATAATGTTTTGCTTTATCAATGCCTGTGTTCTTCTGCGTGGTCTGGTATCAAACAATATAGTATATTTTGGAAGAATGAGAGTATCTTAAGACCGTATATGCCTTTTCACATAATAGTATATGTGATAAAAAAGGAAAAGAGACATCTATAAAGCATTAAAAACAAATCAACAATAATTTAGTTAATACAGCTGGAATTAAACTGAATAATAATCCTTGCTTACAAAACAGGAAGTAGAATGTTATGTATTTACTACCATTTATAACTATAAAAGATTCTAAGTTACAATATCTATATTCAAAATAGAATTTTAACACTCAATAAATATTTGAAAATTATAGGGGTTACAAATAATGACAAATGTGGGTGGTGTTTTTTTTATTAAAATCATTTAGAAGATATAGAATATATATATTTTGGACACTCTCAAGTTTGAGAAAGATGGAGAAAATGAAAGATTGGATCAAACAGAAAACAAATAAAACTGTAATTGTTTACTTCAGAATTCCTACTTTTTGGAAAAATTTCATATATTGATATTTTTCAACCACTACATCACATCACTTCACTTACAAAATATTTTATGTTCTGAACATAAAAAATAAATAAATAGAGCCATCTTTATTTTAATAGGTTACATTGCTTAAGGACGTAATGTAGAGAGGGTTGTATATTTTCCAAATATGGGATTAATTGTATGTATGTATGTATGTGTGTGTGTGTGTGTGTGTGTGCGTGTGCGTTGGTGTGTGTGCGTGTGTTCGTGTGTATGTGTAATGCTCTGCTCTTTTCAGTGTTGTTTGTTTGTATGCGTGGGTTCTATATATACTGTATGTTGTGTTATTTTCCTAGGCCGTGTAGGTTTGTTTGCTATTTCCAAGTGTGATATGATGGCTGATTTAACATATGCTCATTAGTGTGACATGTTGATTAGTTGTCACTACCCAAGTTCTTGTGATGATGACGTGACAGTGCTGACGAAGAAAACGCTAGCCTTTCAGAAACTATGGAATCTTATCTTTGTTCTTTTCCAACGTCTCCATGTAAATCTTCCTTTGTTTATTATTTGCCTCGTTTTAATCGATTTTGATTTCTATTTACGGTTTTGTTTAGTGCTTTAATATTTGAAAAATGTTTATAATTTATAATGAATACATCTGGAGCTCTACTTTGAACATTCAAAAAAGGTCAAAAATTAGAATATATTTCAAATCTGATGTAAAGATGAAAACAATGTCTACGAAACATGAGTCATATCGACATTTCAGGATAAAATATTTATTTCTCAACAACGCTCAATAACAGTTCCGGTTGAGTTAATAAATACAGAAAGTCAGTTCGTTCATGCTTCGCAACTTTGAATGTTCAATGAAAAAGTAAAAATAAATTTCAGAGTTCGCGTACCCGTTCGAAGACTGCCACTGGCTGTCGAGTTGTTTGTTTTATTGATCTTCAGACAATCCAATCTTTTACGATCCCGTTTTTTATATATTGTTAAAACCAATGTTTTTTCCCTTTCATTATCGCTGCTTCATCACGATTTGTGTTAAATATAGACCATGTACAAATTTCGCAATGCCTATTTACACTGCGTGTTTACAGAGTCGAATGGTCCACGGCCTGGTGAGCTTAACAATCATTTAACAAATAAAGAACATATCAGAGATAAGATAAAGGTAATATATTAAAGTATTTCCAAATTCAGTATCCCTCATTATTAAATATTATCTTATAAATAAATTTAAGCAAGAAAAAAATGATAGATAATGGTAAGTTTGAAAGAAAAATCGAAATAAAATATATACGAGCTATTAAGTTGAGTAAACTTTTAACCGTTTTAGTGGAGCCTATTGATCGTATTGTCCATGGCGGGTATACTGTTACAATAGACCACAGGAACACTGGTGCTTTACTATAGTGATTTATGACAAAGATATCGATTTACCAATATATAGGAGATGGATCGTCTTCTTTATACATTGTGTCACAAATATATCCCAAAACATAATCGTGTACATCAAACTCGTCATAGAAAATACATCTGTGTATCAGTTCTGGTTTACTAGCTAGTAATTGACCACCAGAGCCGCTGTACGTCAACCAATCCTATATAGATAGTTGATATGTAGCAGGTGAAGCACACGACACGGATGCACAGCTATCTGCACTGACAAAGGTAAGTTTACATGTGAACTAAATGAAGGTACCTTTGAAGATATTTATATGTATAGTACATATATATATGTTAACTAAATGAAAGTTCTTTTAAAGATATTTATTTGTATATAACAAGATGTGAACTGGTCCCTTTAATGATGCATAATTCGCCGATATATTTTAAAATGCCTGTGTCCACCCGTGTTATAACATGGCTATAAATGAACTTATGTACAGTCTAGTGTGTAGTGTCGATATCACATACCCAAACATCGCTACATTATGTCAAAACATATGTATGCTTATTCCTATTTTACAAGTACCTAAACTTTTGAAAGGTTATGAATGATATTTTTATAAAAGAGGACAGTTACAGTTGCATCTGCAAGAAGGTGCTCTAAAACTTAGAAGAGGTCAGGGTTGGTCTTGGTTTAAAACGTGAATGCGATGTCATTGTCGACTATTGTTACACATGGGAGAATATGATTTCAAGAATCATTGCTTAACCGTGTACAGTGGTGTGCCATTAGTCTTTCATGTCTCGACATTTCCCATAGGGTTCTTCATGAAGATTAGTTTGTTTTTCAATAAAGTTTCTTGGATTATTTTTCGTCCCATTTTGCACTCAGCTGGAGAATTATTCACTGATTCTATAAGTGTGAATGTGTCCAAGTTATTGAGATATCAATAAACGAGGAGTGTCAATAAACCAATAAATCGATAAAATTTGGGCAAAATATGACCAATGGAATACTTGACAAAGAAATATGAAAGGTATGTACAAAGAAAACACAACAAGGCGTTTCGGAAGGGTAAGCGTCTTCTGCTTCTTCGACGACTCCGGCTATGTAAATCTTGTTCAAATCCAAGTAAGGTCACGTCTATACGTCGAGACCTCGATTAGTGACAACAAAACCGCAAAGCACTCTTATGAGAATATCAAAAAATCTACCTTTATAGCTACAAAAAATCGCATATTTTCTAAGTGATAATAATGTGAACACTTCCGCTTAAATGAAAATGTACTTCCTCCAGTTTGAATATGTCCGGAGCGCGCGGGGGTCTTAGTGTGGGAGGAAACTGGAGTACCCGGAGAAAACTCACGTGGTCGGTTAGGTAACCCTGAACCTTTTCACGTCCGATCGGGGAATCGAACCCCGGCCGCCTTGTTGAAAGTCAAGTGCGCTTTTCACTGCACCAATCGACCACCCTAGATCTTTTACAGGGAATGGTATAGAAAAGGAGTAATACCATTTTTGTATTGTTTTATTTTTAGTTTTGTTACATCTACATCAGACAGTGTACACATCCTTTCACGTGTTTCTCAATCATCATCATCATCATCATCATCATCATCATTATCATCATCTATGAACATATTTATATATAAAGCTCTCGGGATTGGCAAATATAGATGATGGACTTTATACTGTTGATTATGTCATAAAGGTGATTTCAGGTAAATAAAGTATATGTTTCTGTGAAATTGTTGAAGGGGGATATCGTTTATTATCTCTATAATTAACTGAAGGCAAAATAGAATTTATAGCCTAATGTTAAACCATTAAAGCTATTTTAGGCAAAGTAAATATATATGTAAGTATTCTATAAATGTAGACTCGAATAATTAGCGTTCGGGATCGTACACAGTGGGAAACATAACTATGAAAAGTGTCTATATATGGAAAGGCACGTGTTCGACGGTATAGGAAACAAAAGGAAAATGTACACATTGGAATTTGGCAGTTTTGACGACCTATACGGGTCTGAATATTTATTCTACTTTCAAAACCGACCAAGATGAAGGTATACATTTTTCTTTATATTTACACACTAGTATCCAACTTATTGCTTATGCTGCCACGCCATTGGCCTCATACTTTTATCACGATCACCTGCCATCTTTGGGAAAGCAGATTTTCAACCATTGGACCTATCGACCTCACACTAATACTAAAATAGTCCTTGTTCTGTTTTCTCACCAACAGAAATTAAAATAATTATGATGCGTCCATTGGAACAGTTTGGTCTTCATCCATCCTTTTCTGGCCTCTCTCTTCAGCGAGAATTGATTTCCTAGGCACCTGCCGTTAGATCGTTGTCCGAATGAAGTTACCAGAACAGGTTGCATAACTTTAGAACCACCTGCTTGTGTCCAGGTTATGATATTTCAGTGAGATTGCACTTTAAGTGTGACTCATAATTGACCCAATTATCTAACTTTGGACATAATTTATTGTGATATTACTTGTTGCATAGATGTAAAACCTAAACAATCAAATAATACCAAAGGGATAAAACAAAGTAAATAGTTGCTAGTATTTATTTTGTTGCATAATAGGCAATTATGAGGACTGAAACATTTCTTTGGCGACGATTGACTTTTTTCTCTGGTCGCCGTTTTTCATCCAGAACATATGAACTATCAGCTGAAACATTCCTATGTTAAAACAGAATATCACATTTAGTTAATATTTCACAAACTTTTAACATGTTATATTGAGTTAACACACTAAAAATCAATATTCTCTTCTCAAATAACCTGCAAAACGACCGGGACATACATTGTTATAAATAATATTGTGTTAATTTCTTCTGAAAGAAACATCTAATAAAACCAATATGTAAATTATAATATGTTGTAACTGTACAGTATTTTCTTAAGTAATCTGCAATAATGCCCGGCCATACTTTTGTTTATGGAATAGATATTGAAATATCAAAACAATATTTCAGAGAATAGTTCAATCTAAAAGTATACATCAAGTACGTCATACACATATATTGATTAAAAATACACAACGATACGTAGCTGCTATTTAACAACTAACTGCGCAGTTCACTATACAGGTGCCTATACATATGGGTCAAAATCTGTCTGTTTAGCTTACAGGTCAGAAACTAAACATTTACAAATGTTTTTTCGTCGAAATTATTTGAAATATAGTCATATTTGTAATAATCTTTAAGTCATGCAGATGTAATCATATGTGGCCTATGTATGAGGTATGAGGTACACTCGTTTTGCATGTCATATATTTTTTCTTTTAATACGTTGTTAAATCGTTGCATGTGCATTTTTTTGTGACAAATGGTTTTCTTGAGTTTGATTTAAATAGGCAAGCTGGATATTATTTCATATACAGCATACCTTACCAGGGACCCTTTTCACCTTTGTACTAGCGATAAATACGATAAGGTAAATCTGCTGTATGGATTGGATCATTTACATAATGCGGGTTTATATTACAGACGAACTATGTGATCATTACATATAAAAACTGTTTTTGAAAAAAAAATCTTATTTTGTTTCTCTCTGGATCCGACAGAAAATAACATGGACATACTCAAGTTTTAAACAATAAAATGACAAACTACTGTCCCCAATGCTCTTTCTAGTTCCTTTTTTCTTTATCAAGTTTACCAAACTACGACGTAGGGAAAGTAATTTAAGGCACGTCAACGTTTTATTAAAATGTATTAAATAAGTAATATCTAAAACAAAATAACAAAGTTTTTTCATAAAATGTTTCCTAAGACTATTTTATTCAAACCTGGTATTTTTGTGTTTATATTTTACTAGTACCTCTCTAGTCACCTCCGTTGGCAGATGGCGCCTGTATCCTTGGTCACCGTCACCATGGTGACGTTGTGTTTGTATTGTGATATGACTACCGGACTGTCAACTTCAGAGGCTGCACAGTTTACTGTCAGTGGCTCTTACTCCGCTACCCTTACGGTATCCTCTACCAGTACTACGTACGTATAATATAATTCCCATCAAAACACAGTGGTACAAAACCTGCTTTGATTAGGTAATAGAGTCGCTAACGCAAATTCTAAATATACAGATTTTGAGTCACTCACATATTTTATTGTATTTCTGTCTTCAGGGGGCGATTGTTGAATCCATCAAACTGTAGTTTTACTTTTAAACTATGTTAACAACAGTGCGTATACACTCCCTATCGATAGGCGAAACGTGCCGGGTCGGCAATCGGGAACCGTCGGCACTTTCCAAAACCGAGAATTTTCCACGTTGTCTTTAATTTGTATTTTACAACTAGCTTATCAATTGTCGTTTAGTACTCAAATCATTATTCCTTCAACAAACATTTAATTATCCGAAATTATTTTGAGTCCTCTATTTCTTGTTGTTTTCAATTTTTCAACAAACATTTAATCATCCGAAATTCCTTTAAGTCTTCTATTTTTTATCGTTTTCAATTTTTCAATAAACATCTAATCATCCAAAATTCCTTTGAGTCCTCTATTTATTGCTTTAATTCAAATATGAAACAAACTTTCAATAAGCCGAAAAGCCATCGAGTTATCCTTTTTATTGATATCAAAATAAATGTTAAAGCTTTCAATTATCCATAATCCTTTTGAGTCAAATATCTTGCTTTTGAATGAAAAAAAAAAGAATATTGAAAAAAAGCGATAACACAACACACGTGTGCTTAATGACCTGATGACACCAAAAGGAAGACTATAAGGCTAGTTCCTGCCCAGGGTGTAGGATAGGGAAGTCCTACCCGTTTTTTGGGATTTGAAATCATCCCGAAGAATTTCCCCATCCTACATTCCTGGAAATGAAAGAGTGGCTTTTCTCTCTTCTTATTCCAAATGCCAAACAATGCGTTCTGTCATATAAGCATAGGAATTAAAGAAATAACAATCGTACCAAACTTGGTCGTCGCTAGGTAAACGTGATAACAGATTAAGTCGGTCAATAATTGTTCACTTATTAAATATATCCTTTGAGGATCGTAGTCCAAAACGCTAACGGTATTCGTAACCTCTGGATACACATACTTCGAACGCTAAGCAGCCGTTCCTGGATCTCATAATCGGAAGACTACATTACCTAGTGAAGTACTTGTAGCCAATATTGTTCTGATATGAATATGAATAAATGTCGGCTTATCAAAAGAATCAATGTCACTACATGTTTCTGAATACCATAGGTACACGATCTCTTCCTCTGGGATGCCTGATCATGCCTGGCAAAGTGTCAATCCGAACACCCCCACTGCACAGAACCACGTTGTAACAGTGCCGAAGACCCCGACTGTTGCTTCCACTAAGGGTTGTCTTCCCATGGGACAGATCGCTATCACTAGGACAGGAGTGTCACTGTACAATCCTCTCGCTTCGGGTTACGTCAACGCCGTCGAAGGATCAAGCGCTGAGACATTTGATAGCTGTGATGGTCATGCTACAGATCGTGGTGATTATCACTACCACAAACTTCCGTCGTCCTGCCTCTGGCAAAATGAGCTTGATTACCTAATCGGTGTGGCCATGGATGGGTACCCCATTTACGGCCCCAACACAACCGGATAGTAAGTATACCCAATACATGGCCCCAACATTACCGGATAGTAAGTATACCCCATATACGGCCCCAACAACACAGGATAGTAACTATAACACATATACGGCCCAATACAACCGGATAGTAAGTTTAACCCGTATACGGCCCCAACACAGCCGGATATTAAGTATACCCTATATACGGCCCCAACAACACAACCGGATAGTAAGCATAACCCGTATACGGCCCAAACACAGCCGGATATTATGTATACCATATAGACGGCCCCAACACAATCAGATAGAAAATATACCTTACATACAGCCCCAACTCAACAAAAATGCTGTCCCTTTTTGTTGGAAAAGATTTCGCGATATATCGAGCATGTACAAAGGGATAATAGGAAACCTTAACATAGAACGAGGTGGGAAATATAACGACAATCACCGATATCTATTTTATATTTTATGTAATATATAGAGAATAATACATGCCATTTTCCCTATCACATCCAGTATCAACCCGAGACTGCAATATCAGCACAAGGGCCGAAGGCCCGAGGGCTGATATTGGTAGAGGGTGGATACTGGGTGTGATATGGAAAAAGGCATGTTTTATTCTGTTTATTACATACTTACTAATAAAAGCTACTATCTTATAATCTAGTTTTCTTTTGAAATATTGAAAAACAAAAAAAATCCAAAAGAGGTGTGATACGGGTTTAGCGTGCTGATACAGGTTTTTGAGTGTGATACGGGTTTTGCGGGCTGATACGGGTTTTTGGGTGTGATACGGTGAGGGCTGATATGGCTAAGAGCAATTGAGTCGTATCACATATACAAAAAATCCGTATTTATTAGTAAGTATGTAATTAAAACCGGTTATCACTTGGATCCGTATCTTATGAATACCTGTTTTGAAGCTTCTTCTCTGTGGTAATGTAGATTTGTTATATAAAGGAATTATTATACGACATAGTTGTGGTAACATTATCAAAACAAAAAAATGCCAAACTGTCAACAAAATGTAATTCGATCTCAAAATCGATGAAGTTATGACAAAATATGAAGAAACAAAAAATGATTGATGTGACCCTTAAAAACATCAATGAGAAAAGACGATGTGTTACGAAAGAATTAGCGCCTACTGGAACTCGTTATATAAAGCTAGCTAGGTCAAAATCAAGTAACGCCACTCCCTCACAACGATAATCTAGGTAGCGACAACACTACAAAAAGACAAAGTAATGATCTAAATCACACTTGTGAGAAGATATTATACGCCAAACAAACAAACCAACAAACAAACACATAGTAAACGAAATCAAACCATCGACTTGATATCACTACTTTCCAAATGATAGTATTATGGCGTCCACAAAACGTGTCCATAATGTGTCCCAACCTGTAAGTTTGTTTGCTAGTAAACCATAACAAAAACAGTAGAATCCGTGTTTCCGTCCGTAGAGCAACTGTATAGTGATACACAAATACCCGCATCTTCACAATAATCAACATCGATATATAAATACAGAAAAAATGTCTACACAATTATCTAGAATCACCTTTTGTGACACACACCGTTTCAAAATATGTTTAGTATACAATACTGAATGGTACATTAAAATACTTTCTTCCAGCTCGGCCTGGTTAACTACTTCTAGCCTAGACGACTGTCACGGTATCACTATAGGCGGGGAGTACCGGTACGTGGCCACTACGGACTTCCCTTACCTGCTCGGATGTTTCCATGGGGTTATTTCTGACAGTTCTTTCGATACAACTTACAGCTGTTCAAGCTCCACTAGTAAGTAGCACGACTTTTGTCGTTTTTGTTTTCTTTTTGAGCTTAATATCAACTCCTCACATTTTTTGTAAAGGTATATCAATACTCATCAATTGTAAAGGACAAAGATCATTAAAAGAATTATTTACATGGAGACACTAGAAAAGTTCAAGGAGAATAAGACCACATGTCCCGGAAGGGAAAGCGTCTTTCACTTCATCGACGACACCCGCTATGTTAATCATTGTCAAATCAACGCAATGCCACGTCCTCAAATCTATACCAAAATGGTGAAAGAATGAACAAAACATATTGATGAGCATCCACAACAACAACAACAAAAAAACGATTTTCATATCACACAAGGAACTAGAAAATTTTCTCAAATAAAGTTAACTTTCAAAGTCTATTCTCACTATAATATTTACATTTTTCCACATCTCTGAACTTTTTCTGATCAATTGCATTGTATTAAAAATTAGACAACGAAGGAAATATAATGCAAATGTGGCATGGGAACTCTAAGGGAAATCATTTTGCTTACACTTGTTTAAATTTTGGGAAAATATGGAATATTCAAAATAACTTTTACATTTTAAAATAGGATTTACTTTTTTTCTTGATAATTTGTGTTGTGAAGAGCCAATGACATCTGTTTATTTTGGTTCACAGACTACGCCCAGTGGAATGGTTACCTGTGTAGCTGTCACGAGCTATCGAACGCGGCAAACTCTCTAACGTCATTATCCCAGATCGTTACGCTCGTCGGCTTGGTCGCCATGTCAACTGCTCCTTCACAACAATTTTTGTAATTTTTGTTTTCGGTGTGAACAAAATCATGACCATGATTCCTTTTAATTAAGACAAAAATAGGAAGATCTCTTAAACGAACCCATGTTTTAAACGCAGTTCATATTGTCACTATGTAGTTATACTGTTCTACACTGTAGCAGTGATGTTTATTTTCTAGATTAACGACTGTTCTTAGATGTGATCTGACAGAAAATAAGATCAATACATGTTACTGATATCGTTAGTGGATACTTCTTTGACAAATCACAAGCTCTAGTCTTGAATTCGGCGATATTTAATGAGAGTTCGTCTATACCGGAAATGGAATTCTTGCCGGATCAGGGATAATTTCGAGATTAACTTAAGGATTTAAACATGCAAAAACAACAGCCATGGCATTGTAACCCTGAACGTTTGTAAACCTCTTCGGTTTGCTATTGATAAAACTATCACAAAGAATATTTGATAAAAAAAACACGTAATTTTATCGTGAGATAGTTTGGATTGATATCTTATAGTTTTAAAATAACTGTTCATGTTTAAATGTATATTTCGAATTGTTCATGACGAGTAAGACCTCTCAAGGGAATTGGATTGTTACATATAACAAGATTTTCTGTTATGTTGTGTCAGTGTCCTTTCATTATGCCATAATACGACACACCACTTGTGTTAAGTGTATACATTTCGCAATAGAAAATTGAAATTCAGTCTGAGGGTTTCAATTAAAAATGTCAAAATAAAATTTGCATTTATATATTTTTTTATTTTTATTAACTTTTAAACATTGTGTTTTGTTTCAATGCATGCATATGTAATCACGTTATCCTTTTTTAAAATGACATTTGTAAAACATTCGCGAACACTCAAATAACTACTACGGCCTTATATGTAGGGAGTCAAAGTCAATGTTGGTGTGCCTTGTTGTTTCATTATCATGTCATATGTCAAACTATGTTAAAATACAACAAAAAATACAATAAAACATAATTTAATCAAAATGCACCTTTTAACAATGAAACAAATGCATCTTTCAGCAATGAAACAAACCAAAGTGCATGTTTTTACAGTAAAAAAAAATCAGAATGTGTGTTGAAGAAAAATATCAAAATGCCTTTCAACTAAACACTGATATCTTCCACTTTTTTTCTGGGTGTATAAAAAACGTTAAGTATATATTTATCTCTGGTACCATTAAAACGAGAATAATTTTGTATCTTTGTACTCTTACTGTTTTTCACGAACAAAAATAAATATTGTTTCATGTATATCGGTTTTGGGGTTTGTGTTCTTTCAACAATTAGGATGTTCGTTGCCACTAATTTTTTTTAAAGTGAAATAGATAATATTTCCTTTAGAAGGTCAGAAACCCGCCTTTTTTTTATCTTAGTTATGAAATATTCTTAAGGACTTAATCTTTAAATCAATCAACTGTGGTGCATAACATGGAAAGCGAATGTCATTCACGATACAACCGACCTGCATTCAATCCGCTATTCGAACAAAAAACGGAAGAACAAACAGTGACAATTTATTTAACAAAGGAAGGATTAGCAAAAAAAGACCAGGCAATCAGAAAGAGGAAGCATCTTCTGCTTCATCGTGGACACCCGCAATGTAAATCTAGGTCAAATCCTAGCAATGTCACGTTTATAGCGCGAACTGGCGAAGTGACTACAAAACAATTAACACACTTATGACCATAATAAAATGTCGACCTTTATATCACACAAGTAAATCAAAGTGACAACCGGAAAGGTTTCCATAAAACCACAAAGCACGCAAATGAGCGAAATAAAAAAAAAACATCGACATTCGTATCGCACAAACAATATTATATATTCCAAAGAGTTCATGATGGCGACCCTAAAGGTTATCAATAGTTTTCATCAGCCTGCATCTATTACGGAATTCATGATATTCGTACAAGTTTGAACTTTGAATTTGCTTGTAAAGCCTGTGGTAGAATAAGGTTTAATAATCAACAGCAACAATTTATGACGTAATACACTGGTCAAGATAGTGACATGTATAATAAAGAGAAGTAGCAACTGATGAACAGAAAAGATGGATTGCTCTGTAGAGTCTTTAATTCCGAATACCATAGTTTCTAGAGTAACGAAAACAAACTTTGATTTCTGGCCTGTTCAGTAAAGTATATGTGGATAAGATGCCAAGTAATCATATAAATCGCTCCATTATTCTTTTCATATTTTGAATAAAAAAAAAAGTCAAACGTTCTTTTATCTTAAATACAGATTACGAATAAAGTTCTCACGTAGTCGGTTCTTGTCCACAACACAATATTGAACTCCGGGCCTATAATGATCACGTACCTATTGTTAATAACGAGGAGGAATCCTTGAACATGTCACGAAACATTAAATTGATCAGGATTTCTATTTATAAAACAAATTAAATAGTGACTTAAATATACAACAATGACATAAAAGATTGACAGAACAAAACAAAGCAATGCCTGTCGTGTCTTTAAACCAATCGACCCGCAAAGACATTCATATAGAAGCAGAGTCCTCTTCGCTAGCAGAAGATTTAGACTCAAACAAAAACAAACTGGGCACTGCACAAATCTTTTCAAATTCACTTGTTTAACGGATAATGGATTGCAAATATTTTTCAACGTTTAAAATACTGCAAATTACTTACATACATAATGCTATTATTTACTATGTATCAATAGTTATTTTGTTTACGATTTTACTTGTCATAATTCATATGACGTATTTGCGCTGTTGTCAGTTGTAAGAAGAGTGGTTTCGCAGGCTCTGTTTGTTTGCCCCATTCATTTTGTAATAATATCTGTACAATAAAATGTTCTGTAAATCAAAAGCACTGTTTTGCATATAATTTTGAACTGTATTTACGGTTTGGGTAGGTTTTATTTCGTTTAAAGTCCTATTAACAGCTCAGGTTTAAGAATGTTTTTGTGCATGTGTACTGCAGGCAGGGTATGTTGAAGTATATGCCTCCTTGTGTCATCATATACATGATGCTGACTTTAGAGTGCTATACTGTACCTCACTGATATCCATGCCACAGTCACCCTATACAGCACTCCATCCGGTCACAGTTTACTGACAACGGGTAAACCAGTTATTGTGATAACACTAAATGCTGAACGTTAAGCAGAAAATAGTCACTACCTTGTAACGGACTTTGGTATGTCCCGGCCTAAGGACAGAATATGGTGTCTTCCTCACTTGGACGAACGCTCAACACTAAGGACAAAAGTGAGGTATGGCCAAGCAAGGCACTATGGAAAAAGTGTTTAGGAAGTAAAGAGAAAATAGAAATATCCTAATGTTAAATTTGGGAAAGCAGATCAGAAATGGTTTCCCCAAAGTACCCAAATCAAAGACACAGTAGGAAGCTCTTACTTCTGCAGAGGCCCCACATGAGTCGCCTTTTACAAATTTAGTGTGACAAAGTAGGACTATCCTTCCCCGAACCCTAAGGGATGGTCCGATATTGTAGAAAAAAGTAAACCACAACAATAAGAGTAAACTATTGAAACCAAGATGAGCATGTTGTAGTTTAGATCAGTATGCTTTGAGTACAAATAAGTTTAATGTCGACTATGTAACCTTTCCTCTGTTGTATCTTTGCCCCATATTAGTTAAAGGTATATATACTACCTTAAATCAAATATAAATGAAGGTCGTGTAAATGATTTTTTCAATTTTATTTTAAAACATTGATATCTGTAATCTGATGACCTTTAAAACGATTTCGACATATTGTATTGCCTTTATATAGCAGTGTCGTCGGGCATAAGTTATACACTTATACAAAGCCATTTCCCTATATATAATGTTTGTTATATATGTGCTGGAGTGTTAACATATGCTTATAATATACCTTTAATTCTTTAGTCAAATCTCATTGTTCACTTTTCTCATCATCTGCTAACATGGCCCTTTTTAGAATATTTTTTTTGTAAGACGAATACATCTTGTCTTTTTCTGGAAGAGTAAAATTATCACAATTAATAGATTTCTATGAACGTCTACTTTAGTTTGATCAAATCATTAAAAGTTATAAATTATTTATACAAAACAAAGTTAGCTGGTGCGATATCTGCTTAGTACGTTTGTCACTTTATCTGAATTCCTGATTAAAACAGTAAATGCAAACATAGAACTTTAACACGTAATTCCAAAGGTAGAAAATGGATACTCTGCCATTGAAATAAGTGAGACAAATTAAATTGCTTCATCAAAGAAATTTATATGTATTTTTGTGTGTTACCAAAGCATAATATAGGACAAAACCTCATTAAAATAGATAACATCAAAAGACGTCTTAACTCGTTGCTGCTCCTCTATATTGATATAACTGGTTGAACTATGTATGGAGCATTGGCACGCACGGATACAACGCTCACTGGGGTAATAGAGTTTACGTCGTGTGGGATAAGCTCCAAAAGTAGGTTATACATTTTGTAACTGTGCTCAATTCACCGCATGGTAGCTTTAAATGTCCACCGCAAACATATTTGATGTTTAGATTGAAATGCAGTCAGACAGTATGTGAAACCGATTTACAAGTGACATTCACCTACAAGCAGTCCATGCATGCAGGTATACAGATAGATATATATGTCATGTTTAGATAAAATATACCTAAGGTACTCGTATCCCAACCCATGAAATACCTTGTTGAAAAAATAAAATCTTTCATAAAGAAATTAAGGTAAACTTTAAGGATCACGAAAAATCCTAATTAGAATAAAACAAATCTGTTTTGATTTGTATCTCTTTATCTCCGGAAGATTACAAGATTTCTTTTTGAAAAAGCGGCGTGACTGTTTTAAATGTTATCTGTCTTTAAATGTTCAACTAGAATTACCTTAGTGTACTTTATTCCGTGTTGTCGTGGGGTCATCTCCGACAGGTAGAGTTCACCCAACGACATCGTTTTTGTGCAACGAACTTCACGTTTGGGGAGTTATTGTGTTTCATCTGGCCATTTGGCGATAACACTGTGTATAACAGGCCGTCGTCAATTACTGCACGACTTCCATTGAAACTAGGGATGTCAATGGAAGACTTTGTCACGACTTGGCAGGTAGTATCCTCGTAGCAAGTCACAGGTAGTATCAAAGATATATAAACCGAAGGAATAATTACAATGACAAAGGACTTTGAGAACAATACAAAGAATTTAAATAAGTTTATTTACAAAATAATAATAAAGCTGTACTTCATTGTGAATATATTATATATAATATATCATTAGAAAGATTGCAGTTATACTGTTCACTTCAGCGACACATTTTAGGGAGAAACGAGTCGCATTGTTTCTCAAAAAGGTAAGAAAACTTCCTCATTAAAAATATATCTCAACATGTGTTCCCAGCTCCCCTGTCCCTACAGGAGCTTGTTACCCTGTATCAGGCGTCACGATCATTGCTGTCGGAGTCAGAATCTTTGTTGTGTGTCCCAAAATCTCGTACTGTGACCTACAGAAACAGATGCTTTGGAAGGGTTTCGGCCACTTTGTGGAATAGCTTACAATCTGCTATTAGAAAGTCAAATACCCTGGCCAAATTCAAGAGGGACATCAAAACTCACCTCTACACGTCTCCCTTTTTAAGCTCTTTGCAAAGACGTCATGTAAATAACACCCTTTATTTATTCATTTATGTGCACATTGCGATGATTATCTTCTTGCTTAATGTATTAAGATGATTGTAAGCCATTTTTGTTTCGCAATTATAACTAATACTATTATC